AACCCCGGCAGTATTGTCTAACAAGCCGATTATAACGAACTAAAAAAGAGATAATTGACACAGAAAAGAAATGGGAGGCTGAATATTCATACGCACTTTGCCGTCGGGCGAAGCAGCACAACACAAAGCTTCATCTGGCAGTTCAAGTATCCTTCTTTCTCGGAGGGAAAGGCGTTTCCTAGAACAGTATGACTGATAGAGCTAGCTTCTAAGAGAAGAAAACTTACCGTGTACCCTCAGAGACTACTTCATATGACCAGAACTTAGCCTTCTTATCTGATGAAACTGTGACAATTCCCTGAAATTACAATGCTCCGGTAGGACGAGAACGAAGTTCCGTAAAACGGATGTACCTTACTGTCTGCTGTATGGACAAGAGACCATATAGGTCCTTCATGACCTCTCCGTGTTTCCAACAATTCACATGCTGCTACATCCCAAAGAAATAAGTCGCCTGCCTAAAACGCTAAACAGTATAAAATTCAAACGCCAAAAAAATCCATATATCTCTCTTGTAAATATATCCACTAAGAATATGTATCAAAAGAACAATTGCGAATAGATGTGACACAGATAGCATTGAAAGGAATTCTAAAGTTTTTTTGACATAAAAAATCTTAAAGCCCATATGCAAAATAGTCATAAACGAATGTACCTTAGTTCCAGCAACAACGTGTCCGTCGCCGATGGCAAAAATGACAGAGGTGACATCGACCATTCCTTCAGTTTGTAAATGAGCAACTGGACGAAGCGAATGTGCATTCCAGATTATAAGCTGAACACATGACAATAGTATCAGCAAAATGTTGAGTAGAGAAGGATGAGCACCTCATCTCCTCCGCCGGATACGATTGCATTGTTTGAAGATGAAACAGACAAACCACGAATGTCACTACGATGGCCGAGCTAAATTACTTATACTCATGGTTTCAAAATCAAAAAAAAAAAATCCAAAACGTACATGATCAGTATTGGAAGGGCACTCAAATGACACAGTGTTTGAGGAGAGATCACATTTGAGATTCAGAAGATGGACGGTGTTATTGGCCATGAGAGCAAAGATCTGAAGAAATTAATTACACGGCTGTTAGTTGGGCACATGCGTATACAATCTTTCCGTTTTGGATTATTTGTATGGTTGTGCAATAAGTGTAGGAGTTCACGCTTGTGGATTGCCTGATCACCAGAAGCGAGGATAAATGTATTCACGCTATAAGTGGGCTAGGGCAGAATCTGCTACTACCATATATACCTGTACCTAGACATAACCTGATTCTGATAAACTTTTATACTTGCTGACCCAGAAACTGAAATTTGGCGAGTAGCGCTGGAACAAAGCCACAATGCCAAGATCTCGTTTGAAACTTGACAAACCGGATGCGACCCTAATCGGAAGTCTAGCCCGCTCAGATTCTGCGCATTGTATGCCAACAAAGTCTTGAATCGTGCGAGCCAATGGGCCGCTTGTAAGAAAACGTGCAGCTAGGCGATTACCGCCAATCCCACTGCACACTATGGAAGTAGTAATGATAGAAATAGTTAAGCAGTTACCATTAAATTTGGAAATACTTCCCGTAAATAATCAAAGCAAATAAGAAAACATACCGAAAAATTTAGGGCATTGTCCTGATCGACGACGCATTTACGAGTGAAATCGGTCCATTTAATCTTAGCCTGAGTACGATATTCACCGACTGGAGCAATGAGAATAGTCACATCCTTTTTCACTTCCTCCTCAGAAATGCCAACAGAGACACCTTCGCTTAAAAGATATTTTAAGACGATACATCACAAGAAGCTAGCTATCAAGTGAAGCAAAAAAAAACATATTACAAACTAAGTGCTGCGGAAAGCAACTATGAGAAAACAGAAAGATCTATAAGATACTATAAACAGAAACAAAGATTTCATCTAAGATGGTATACCTTGTGGCTTTCCTCTTCGCATTTTTCAACTTCTTTGCCAAACGTTTGCTTGACTCTGCTTCCGTGAATACTCGAAACACATCGACCACTTTATCGGCTCCCTAGAAACAATATAAGTGAAGAAAAGGCTCTACTCATTTGTGATTTTCACAGACCAAGCACAGCAAAAAGCGCTCGTCAGGGGACAGAGCAAGCTGAAGTGCTCGCCCTTTGCACTGGCGAAGCAATCTTCCACGGAGACTCACTCGCACATAACGCTAAACGGATGAAGATCAAACAAAACAGATCAATTTAAGGGACAGAAACTAACATTTGCCATATCTTCTATAACGCCTTCTTGAGTATGAACATCCACCAAAGCTTTCTTTTTCTCGGGTTCCTGATTTTGTTCAGAAGATGGTAATATTCCATCACCTAACCAAGTCAGATTGTACAAAATTAGTTCGGCTTCTGCGCTTGCCACCACCATGAGTGTCTCGTCATTAAGAATGCTGAAGGAATAAACCTAAAACACACTACTGGGAAAAAAACAAATTGAGATGATCGGAAGCAAAAGCCAAAAACCTCCGTGCGATTCTCAAGTAACGTGTAAAAGCAGCTCTGACTTTTCAGGCACCAGAATTTGACTAGGCAATCCTTGGACCTGAACATTTGCTAGATAGATACATGAAAGTAAAGAAGTTAAGCAGTAGTGCAATTAAAAAGCCTTTCATTATCCTTTCAAGACAGCACTGCGACCTTTGTATCAACCGATTAACTCCGAATAAGGAAAATAACTGATTCGCAAATGGAAAGATTAATATGATGCGTTGCAACCAAGTTCATTAACAACACAATGACTAACTAAAAAACTTGGATGCTTACGATGTTATCAGAAATTGACCATTACGCACAAAAGCCAAATGAGTCACAGGGCCTTTGTGCCCATTGAGTCGAAAGAGACCGCTTTCCGATACAACGTCCCACAATATGACTGCACAATCCTGATAGCAGAAACAGAATTAGCGAAAAGAACAGAAGTGAAGGTCACATGTAAACCCACCTTTCCTCCTGAGGCTAAAGTAAGCCCGTCATCACTGAACATCAAACAGTTAACACCTTTTTTGTGACCGGAGAAAATGACACTGTTCATTTCTTCAAAGCAATTGCTTACTAAAGAACTGTTAATAAAAGAACAGAGATTTTACCGTTAGAGTTCCTATCGAATAATCGAATAACACCGTCAGCGTAACCGACTGCAAGCCACCTTTTGTCATGGCTCAGTTTTATACAGGTTGCATCCTTCACAGATTCAGATATTTCATTAACCTTAAGAATAGCGCCAATAATAGGAATATGAGTGAATTCAAAGTATGTAATTTTTGCGCTATTTAGTAAGGCCATGGTTCTGAGAAATGTGTATGAAGTATGAAAGCTCGATGGCCATCTAAACCTATCTAATTCGAATATGCATTATAAAAGTCTCTAATAAGTTGGAAATAGGGTTCGAAACAAAAGAATTCAAAGTAAGAACATTTGAAACTCATTCCAAAAAGCACGCATTAAAGAATGTAAAGAACGGAAATGTCATGGCTTACCTTCTCATTTGTCCTCAAATTGTAGAAATTGACATTCTCACAAGCAGTAACTGCGCAAACCTTCTCGTCAACGGCACAGATCTCACCATTTGCGGAGCCAACGCAACCGCAGCTACCACTGTGCACATAACGCAAGTAATCCTTTGTTAATCCCATAACCTATCTAAAAGAAAAAAAAGAAGTTGATAACGCACTCAATAACCATAAGTGGACATGTTGACGATGATGGAACCATATTATTTACAACGAACAAGCAGTCAGGTACTGACGACGTGCAA